TTCATTATTTTGGTCTCTCCGTTTGGCATGCGTGCTACTTTGTTTTCGCGATCTTTAATCAGGGCTCTCGTGAATACTTCAGAAATTTCCAAGGGTTTTGGGAACGGGGTGGGGCCTTTACAGGGCTATGAAATGCAATGTCTTGAGGCTACAAATGACTCACTTGCATCCCTTACGGATTTTGTTTGGTCTTGTGTCATGTGGCACTCGACGTAAAGGAACCAAAACCACTAAAATGCGCCGGTTTATCCCTCTGGACCTTTATGGGGCTATGAAATGCAATGTCTCGTGAGGTTTTGATTCCTGAAAGAGAGATTACGTCTCGGCGGACAGAAAACGATATGTCGTGGAATATAACTTCGTAGTATTGCTCAGGCTTAAAATGGTAAAAAGAGGGATTATAACAAAGCGTGCTTGCCCTATCTAAGTCCTATTGAGCCGCTATGAATAAAATCTTTATTTACGCACGCTTGTACTTAAGCAAGTTAACGTGGGCTTTTATTTTTTACCTGGCTGCAGAGATGCTGTCCTGTTAAGCTGCAGTGCAGTTTTCCTTCTCTTTGAAATATGGAAGAAACCAGCGAACGACTGCCCAACTTTTCTATCTGCATTGACCTTTAAGGTCCTGACCCAACAAGCAGCAAAAACAAAGCCAAAAAAACTCAGCAAGCGCAGCGTGAACATTCTTTTGAACATTCAAGTCCCTTGACAACTTCGTCTCCGGGTCTTTTATATCTAAAATTTTTATAGTGACACTTAAGTTCAGTTAGCTTTGATTTTCTCCATTTCTCCCGTTATTTTTGAGCTTTCCATTCACAGTTATCGGTTAACTGGATCAAATTCTCTCGCTGAAACCCAAGTCTAAAATGTGGCGTGTTTTTGACCAGTCAATAGGAACGTTCTTTACTTTTTTGTGCATTGTGAAAAGTTTGCACCCTATCACAATAAAAATCTTCTTCGCGCAGATCCTTGCTGCTTTAAAAGAATTTGTTCATGCTTTTAGCTGTGCGTATATGGAGTTATAGATGAACGCGGGAAGTTTGGACAGCCCTCAAAAAGCTAGCTTAGCCTAAAAAAAAAAATTTCTGTGGGCTGCGTCTCCAGCTATCCTTACACATTTTTCGTACTCTCCAAACTATAATATATAACAGTGTCTAATTCTAAGGTCTTAACAAAAAGCCGTAGTAGTAACCCTAGAGATCCAGATAGTGTCCATCAGTGTAACTCGACATCGTCATATGATCGTAAGCGAACAAACTGGAGCCTCAATTTCCTTTGTAACTATGAATTGTAGTTGGTAAAGCGATGATTGCAAAAATAAGCGGCAAAATTTCAAAATCTCAAAATCACTTTCCAATTTCAATTATCGCACTACCGTTAATGAAATTGTTCTTTCCATCAGCAATCGGTTCGTTTTTCTTTACGGTATGAACCTTACTGAAATAGGTGAAATAAAATTAATCTTCTTCACTATTGAACCTCAAAAATTAAATTCGTATTTCTCCCAGGTAGCTGCTATATTCTTTTTAAGGGAAAGTAGGTTTACTCACACATATTTAGTGTCATGCTTTATTCAATAAAAGATGAAACGATATCTTTTGANGGTAAACGGAAACTGATAGTGGCACCGACCTTGAAGTATGGATTCAAGTGTTTTATGAAGTACCCTGCTGATATACCTGACTATTTCAAGCTGGCATTTCCCGAAGGTCTAAAATACGACAGAAAAATAACATTTGAAGATGGAGGGTGTGCCACGGCCACTGTGGAAATGAGGTGAGCATTTCCTTATCAATTAAGTGTTATCAGCTTTCTAACTGGCAGACTGCACAGAGGTCTTTGATAAAAAAGGGAACGTTTCTCATCTGCTTGTGTTGATTTCGCTGTCGGGCTCTACGCATATTATTTTTATTAATGATGAAGGAACGAAAGCAACGGAGAAAGCTCCTTCTTCAAATAATCATTAACTGTGCTACAATTAATATCAATAATTTATAAAGCGCCAAAAAACTCTTAAGATATCTTCGATTTTATCGAGTCTTTGATATTCTTACCAGTCACTTCAACTTTCTCACATATTTTGCATCATTGCACAAAGATTTCATGGCGACGCGAGAAAGTGAACATTTATGACTGATTTTCATGTTTTTAAGTTACATCACCGAAGATTAAACCAAAACTGCAGTAAATTGCGTAAATAGGTAAATTATTTTGTTTCCTTAAAGGAATGAGGCAAACCTTAGTTTTCAAAAGTAAACCTCAATTTTTCAGCTTGAAGATTTGCCATTCCGTTTTTATTGGCTTATCCTTGACTATGTTCGTTTCTTTCAGCCCTACTCTTGATTACTCTTTTTGCTTCAGTCTCATTCCTATTTCAATCTTTCTTCCACGTTAAAAGAACTAAAGATTTTTCTGCCGCAGTTGTTCGTCATGTATTACCCATTCTGTGTTCTGAACTACTTTCTACTTGGACAGCCTCAAAGGCAACACCCTTATGCACAAGACCAATTTTCAGGGAGGTAACTTTCCCATTGACGGCCCTGTCATGCAGAAAAGGACTCTTGGCTGGGAACCAACCTCAGAGAAAATGACTCCTTGTGATGGAATAATCAAGGGAGACACTATGATGTACCTGATGGTTGAAGGAGGCAAAACTCTGAAATGCCGATATGAAAACAATTACAGGTAATTATATGTGTACATAGATTAACATGTATCTAACTCATTCTTCGTGGACTTTCCTGAGCCCCTTAAAAAGTATTTTCTTTTAACTACGTTATAATGGGAATTGGAAAAGTTTTCAAAGGTGACAATAAATTTTCTCTGTATCTCCATATGGAAGAATGTAGCTGCTAGCTGTGAGAAATACGAATTTAATTATTGAGGCTTAATGGTCAAAAAGATTATTTTTATTTCGCCTGTTTCAGTAAGGTTCATACTGCAAAGATAAACGGACACTACTTTTCGAAAGAAGAATTCCAGTAACGGTAGTGCG